GCCTGGCCTGCGCCAGGCGGGCGGATTCGGCGCGGTCCCCCAGCCCTCGCTCCAAGCTCAGGAAGCCAGCTCTCTTTCCTTTTTTTTGGTTAATCCTCACCCGAGGGTATTTTTTCCGTTGCTTTTCAGACAGTGGAAAGGAGAGGGAGGGAGGTAGAGAGAGAGGGAGAGAGAGAATCATCGACGTGAGAGAGACAGCCACTGGTTGCCTCTTGCACGTGCTCCGGTTTGTGCCCTTGACCCAGAACCGAACCCGCGACTGTTGAGGGCACAGGCCAGGGCTCCCGCCGCCGAGCCCCACAGTCAGGGCCAGGCAGGTGCCCCTTTGAAAGGGAGACACTTAGGAGACAGGACTCGACCCCGAACGGCCCTGCCCACGTCCCAGGATGACAGGGTGATGCCGATTCTAGTTGTCCTGGGCTCTGGACTAGAAAGCAGACCGTCAGCCTGGGGGTGCAGAGCAAGGCTCCCCCCAAAGCGCCCTTGAGGGGTCCCAGCCTCGGGCAGCTCCAGGCACCTCTCTCTCCAGAGGAGGCTGCAGGAGCTCGGGAAGCTGGGCCCAGGGAGCCTGTTGCAAAGCTTGAGCTTGACCCACCGGCGTGGCTCGGGCTGAGCGTCGGCCTGCGAGCCAGGGGGTCAGGGTTCAGTGCCCGGTCGGGACACAGGCCCTGGTGGTGGGCTCCGTCCCCAGTGGGGGGCGTGCAGGAGGCAGCCGGTCCATGATTCTCTCTCATCATTGTTTCTCTCTCCCTTTCTCTCTGGAATCAATAAAATATATTAAAAAACAAAACCAGAGAACATTTGAGCTTGGAAGCGAGCCCAGGCCGAGTGCCCACGGCAGCCACGCCAGGGGGCAGGAGCCACGCCAGGGGGCAGGAGCCACCCCAGAGCAGAGGGAACGGCTCCGGAGAGTCGGGGTCAGAGGGGCTCGGGCCCAGAGCTCAGGTCCCTGGGAGCCGGGAGGCTCAGGCCCAGGCCCATCCGAAAGGTGGGAGGACGATTAGGCAGCGGCCTCGTCAGTGCTGACCCGAGGCAGCTGGCGGCTCGTCCTTGCGCCGTGCTCAGCTGACCGGGGAGCCGGAAGGAGCTGGAAGTCCTCCTGGCGTGGGGTTGGCCTTCCCTCCCTCCGTGAAAGGGGGTGACTCAGAGGGGCCTGTGGCGCCAGGCTGCACCCACAGCTGTTTTACCCGTGGCTGCTCCCGGGTGGGACCCGCGGGCGACTGACCTGGGTCCCTGTAAACACTCGGCAGCATCCGGTGTCCCGGGATCTTGGGCCAGAGATGTGCCTGCGTGTGCGGCGACGTCCAAGCCTCAGACGCGGCAGCTCCACACCTGGTGGGCACGTGATGCGTTTGGTTACGTGGCTGCGCTGACCTGCGGGGCCCTGGGCCTTGTGGGGGCTGCACGGGGATGGTGCACCCACACATTCTCGCGGCTTTCACGGGACCTCCGGGGACATGTGTACCTTCTCCCCCTCCCACCATATCCCCCTCCCCCTGCTCCTCCTCCTTCCCCTTCTCCCCCTTCCTCTCTCCCTGCCCCTCCCCCTCCCCCTCCTCTCCTTTAGGAGCATGGCTTAGGAGCTAGATGGACTTGAGTCCAACTCTGCTGCCTGCATGTTGCTGGCTGTGGGGCCTTTCCCACCTGTAACAAGGGGATGATCACAGCACTGCCCCGCCCCCGCGG